GGTATATTTGAGCAAATGATAGCTGAGAACTCCCCTAATCTGGGGAAGGAAACAAGCATTTGTGTCCAAGAGGCAGAGACGACCCCTCCCAAAATCAATAAAAATAGATCAACATCCCAACATATAATAGTGAAACTTGCAAATCTTAGAGCCAAGGAAGCTATCCTGAGAGCAGCTGGGGGAAGAGATCTCTTACATATGGAAGGAGGAACATCAGAATAAAATCAGACCCGTCCACAAAAACCTGACAAGCCAGAAAGGGCTGGCAAGACATATTCAGGGTACTAAATGAAAAGAACATGCAGCCAAGAATACTTTACCCAGCAAGGCTGTCATTCACAATGGATAGAGAGAGAAAGAGGTTTCAGGACAGGGAGAAACTGAAAGAATATGTGACCACCAAGCCAGCGCTGCAAGAAAAATTAAGGAGGATTCTGTAAGCCAAGAGAAACCCATAAGTCACATAGACCAGAAAGAAACAGAAAATCTACAGAAACAGACTTTACAGGCCAATACAATGGCACTAAATTCATATCTTTCAATAGCTATACTGAGTGTAAATGGGCTGAATGCTCCCACACAGGGTTTCAGATTGGATAAAAAAGCAGGACCCATCCACATGCTGTCTACAAGAGACTGATTTTGAGCCTAAAGACACCTCCAGATTGAAAGTGAGGGGATGGACAACCATTTACCACACTAATGGATCTCTAAAGAAAGCTGGGGTAGCAATCCTCATATCAGACAAATTAGATTTTAAACCAAAGACCATAGTAAAGAGATGTAGAGGGACACTATATCATACCTAAAGGGTCTATCCAACAAGAAAATCTAACAGTTGTAAAAATCTATGTCTTCAACATGGGAGCAGCGAATTATATAAACCAGTTAATAACCAAAATAAAGAAACATACTGATAATAATACATTCATAGTAGGAGACCTCAATACTGCACTCACAGCAATGGATAGATCATCTAAGCAGATCAACAAAGAAACAAGAGCTTTGAATGACACATTGGACCAGATGGACTTTGTAGATATATATAGAACATTCCATCCTAAAACAACAGAATACTCATTCTTCTCCAGTGCACATGGAACTTTCTCCAGAATAGACCACATACTGGGTCACAAATCAGGTCTCAACTGGTACTGAAAGATTGAGATTATCCCCTGCATATTTTCAGACCACAATGCTGTGAAACCGGAACTCAGCCACAAGAAGAAATTTGGAAGGAACTCGAACACTTGGAAGTTAAAGAGCATCTGCTAAAGAATGATTGGGTCAACCAGGAAATTAAAGAACTTAAACAATTCATTGACACTAATGAGAATGAAAACACATCAGTCCAAAACCTATGGGATACTGCAAAGGCAGTCCTAAGAGGGAAATACATAGCCATCCAAGCTTCTCTCAAAAAATTAGAAAAATCCTGGGGCGCCTGGGTGGCTCAGTCGTTGAGCGTCTGCCTTCAGCTCGGGTCATGATCCCAGGGTTCTGGGATCAAGCACCGCATCGCTTCTCCTTTTCCCACTCCCCCTGCTTGTGTTCCCTCTCTCTCTGTGCCTCTCTTTGTCAAATAAATAAATAAAATCTTTAAAAAAAAATTTAGAAAAATCCCAAATGCACAAGCTAACCTTACACCTAAAGGACCTAGAGAAAGAACAGCAAATAAGGCCTAAACCAAGCAGGAGAAGAGAAACAATAAAGATTAGAGCAGAAATCAATGAAATAGAAACCAAAAAAACAGAAGAGATCAACAAAACTAGAAGCT